GACCTGCTGCCGTTTTTGTGAAGTGGTATTATGAAAGACTCCTTCCAGGCTGACGGAAAAACGTCATGTTTAAGCGACAAATTGAATAGAGTTGTTAAATGCTCGCAGATGTTCTCAGCGCAGTTTTTAAGAAAACAGGTCGGAATATGATCAGGTCCAGGCCTAAATGACGCTTTTAAGGTTTTTAAATAGTGTAAAACTTCATCGGAAGATATTACTGGAATATAAGCAGAGTTGATTGGACAAAGCTCGTACGGATAGTCCCCACTAATAGGGAAGTCTACAGAATAATTGGACCTAAAGAACCGAGCAAACATGTTGGCAATGAGTTGGCTGTCGCTAGATACAGTGTTGCGATAATGCATAGCGGACGGAAAACCATGTGCCTTACACTTTGAATTTACGAAACCATAAAATGATTTAGGATTGTTAGTTAAATTCTTCTTAATTTTACATAAATATGAATTATAACATATCTTATTTAATGCAAAGTAGCTATGCCGCAAAACTGAGTACCTCAGGTAATCACTGTGTAAGCCCGTTTTTTTAAGCTCTTTAGTGAACCATAATTGTATTGGTTATTTATGAACAATATTACGTTTTGGCACATACTTTCGAAACAAATTGAAGACAGTATCATTAAAGTGCTCAACGCTACGCTCCACGTCATCTCTATATATTGGCCAAGATAACTTTGAAAGTTCTTTGTTAATTTTCCTGAAATTTGCTTTCGCAAAAACATACCTAGTACTTGAACTTGACTTATTATTATGTATTTCATTTATGACTTCGTAGCTTAACTCAAGAGCAGGATGGTATGCATCTTCCAGCAAAACTAGGGGATCACACCGATTAATAGAGGCCTTCGGAACATCATCAACGTAAACGAGATCCAAGACCCTTCCAAACTTATTTGGACATATATTTATTTGTTTGAGGCAAAGTTCAGCCATTTCCTCCAGAAATACATTGTAACTATCTCTAGATGGTGGAGAACTCTCCCAAACGGAAACCAGGTCCAGCTGACAAAAGGGCCCATATGGGACCAAAGGTACCTAGTGTTAAGGCAACTTTTGCCGATGTCACAAAGGCGCCGACTTGTCAGGCGGACACTGGTAATGGGGTTAAGTTAGGGTTACTCCCCAAAGGGTACCCTAAGGCACTTTGGTCCTTAGACCAATTACAGGCCATTCAGACGGCCATCCTGGAGGAGGTGAGGCGGCAGCGAAAGGGCTCTGTGAAGCCCAAGTTTAGCGGTTGCACCTTCCGTCCGGGATGGATGTCCATTGGCTGCGGAGACGCTATAACGCTGGAATGGCTGCGCAAGGTATCCCAAACCCTGAAGCCTTGGAAGGGCGCGGAAATTGTGGCAATGAATGCCACTGACGTGCCCAAACCCAGTGTGTACGTTGGGTACTTTCCGGAGCCATCAACCACTCCAGTGGACAGTATCCTTGGCCTTGTCGAGGGTCAGAACGAAGGGCTGCGGGTAGGTAGCTGGAGGGTGCTCAACAGGGTACAGAAGGGACCCACCACTGAGCTCACTCTAGCGGTTGACCCGCACTCAGCGGAGACACTCGACAGGCTGGGATACTTAGTCAATTATGGATATGGCAGGGTGCGCATCCATAAAAAAGGGAAGACGACTGAGTCGTCAGACCCGAAGGGTGCGCAGCCTGCTATAGCCAGCTCCTCCTCCGCTGCACAAAGTGCGTGCTTCAAAGAGGGACCTTGCGGTTCCAAGGACGTACCCAAGGGACTGCAAAGGTTACCTTCAGAGCAGTCAGGGGCAGCGGAGAAGGAAAAAGCACCTGTCCAGGAGTCCATAGAGCGGCCCTGCTGCTCAGAAGACACTCCTGGCACGGAAAAGAGGGTACCTTCCAGCCCAGAGAGATCAAAGGCCCCTTTCGCCCAAAATCCCTTCCGTCCTCCGCTAAATGCGAGTCGGAGACAAGGTCGAGGGGAGATTTCAATGGAGGAGAAGACCCTGATGGCCACCAATAGGGGGAAAAAGATGGCCAAGCGGGCTTCAAGGCCGAAAAATGGCAAACCCCCCAAGCGATAGGCCTAGGCACATCAAGTGCCTGCAAGTGAACCTCCATCATGCAAAGGCGGCCTCTGACGTCTTATGCAGGAGGTTCAAAACAGAACTCTTGGATGTCGCATTCATCCAAGAACCGTGGGTTTTCGCCGGGGCTATTAAAGGCCTAAACGACTGTGATGGTAAGATAATCTACGATATCACACACTGCAGGCCCAGAGCGGCCATATTACTACGTAATAACATGACTTTTGTTCCCATTTCAGAGTTGACACAACAGGACTTAGCTGCTGTATGGACTAAAGTGCCCACTCAAATGGGAGAACAAGAGGTCGTTCTCGCTTCAGCTTACCTCCCAGGCGACAGCTGTGAGATGCCCACAAGGGAAGTAATAGCCCTAGAGGAGTACTGCAGAAGGAGAAAGCTGAAACTAATAATGAGCTGTGACGCCAATGCCCATCACTGTGTTTGGGGCAGCTCGGACACCAATTCTAGAGGTGAGTCATTTCTTGAATTTATCACTAAGAACAACTTATTTATTCTTAACCGGGGTAATGAGCCGACCTTTGTCAATGCTATAAGAGGGGAGGTTCTAGACTTGACAATTTCCTCAACTAGCTTGCCGACCTTTATCTCAAACTGGCATGTCTCAAATGAGGTATCTATGTCGGACCACCGGCATATTCGATTCGATATAGAAGCCCAAAGAGTAACAAACCATGTTTACAGAAATCCCAGAAAAACAAACTGGGAACTCTTTCGCCTCCACATAGAGCGGGAAGTGAATGGTTCTACCGCACCAATTTCATCCGTCTATGAACTTGAGGACGAGGCGAGAAAGTTCCAAGATGCTCTTAAACAAGGTTTTGAAGAGAGCTGCCCACTGAGAACCAAAAAGTCTCAAAGGGATGTCCCTTGGTGGAGCGATTCTCTCGGAAAACTAAGGAAAAGAGCCAGAAAACTTTTCAATAGGGCAAAGTCAACAGGTGACTGGACCGCCTACAAGTCAGCCCTAACCGCTTACAACTGTGAGCTCAGAAGGTCTAAAAGGGCTACGTGGCGTGAGCACTGCGGAAGTATTTCCTCTCTTCCAGAGGTGCATCGCCTTCAGAAGGCCCTTAAACTAGATCATCCGAAAGTCCTATGCACTTTGAAAAGACCAGATGGTACCTACACTGGCACCCCGGAAGAAACCAGCAGGCTTCTGCTGGAAACCCAGTTCCCGGGATGTATTCCACAAGGCACATGTCCTTCGACAAACACGGCGAACGCTGTGTGCGCAAACAGGAGGACTAGAGGCCTAGCAGGAAGAATCGTCAGTGTGGAAAAGATATCGTGGGCCATTTCAACCTTTAGTGCATATAAATCCCCTGGTCCAGATGGTATCTTCCCATGCCTGCTGCAGCAGAGCTTGGGCTTAATATCAGGGCCACTAGTCAGATTGCTGAGAGCAAGTCTCTTACTTGCTCACATACCAACAACATGGAGTGAAGTCAAAGTGGTCTTTATACCCAAAGTGGGGAAAAACTCAGCACAACTCCCAAAGGCGTACAGGCCAATTAGCCTCAGTTCCTTTCTAGTAAAGACACTAGAAAAACTTATTGACTTTCACATAAGGGATAACTTTCTCAGGAATAAGCCTCTGTGTCAGAGTCAGCACGCATACCAGGCAGGCAAATCTACTATTACTGCAATACATAGCCTAACTCAAGTCATTGAAAAGGCATTGCGGTATAAACAGATAGCTTTGTGTGCATTCCTGGACATATCAGGTGCTTTCGACAATACGTCTTATGAAGCAATATCGACAGCTATGATACGAAAGGATATTCCTGTCCTTCTAACGGATTGGATCATAAGCATGTTGAGGTCCAGAACCATAATAGCGGAACTAGGAGACGACAGGCAAGCAGTAAATGCCACCCGTGGCTGTCCTCAAGGGGGAGTCTTATCGCCCCTACTTTGGACACTGGTTGTTGACGAACTTCTTGAAAAGCTAAATGGCAATGGATTCAAGGCATATGGATATGCAGATGACCTAGTCATCTACGTTGTCGGCTGGCATGAGGACACAATTTGTTCCAGATTGCAAGCTGCGCTCAGTCTAACGGAAGACTGGTGTGCTTCAAAGGGATTGTCAATAAACCCGCAGAAGTCCACCGTTGTCCCATTTACCAATAGAAGGAAAGTCAACTTGACTAAACCCACTTTGGCAGGGACAGAAATTGAGTTCTCAGAAGAGGCGAAGTATCTAGGGGTAACTCTGGACAAAAGGCTCAATTGGAACTCACATCTCCTTAACATTACCAACAAGGCTACAAGGGCGTTTTATGCCTGCCAGAGACTCCATGGTAAAACTTGGGGAATATCACCCAAACTAACGTATTGGTCTTTCAATACGGTCGTGAAACCTGTTGTCACATATGCGGCACTGGCCTGGTGGCCAAAAGCAAAGAAAGCAAGTGCGTGTGCCACCTTGAGCAAGCTACACCGCTTGATCTGTGTGGCCATCACAGGAGCTATGCGCACCTGTCCAACGGATGCCCTCGGTATAATTACAGGCATTCCTCCTCTATCTATTCTGATAGAAAAGGAGGCCTGCTGGAGCTCCATACGGCTGCCCAATGTAATCAGCATGAAGAGTGGAGATCTTTGGGGTCACTTGGAGGTTCTCAAGCCTTTTCTGGATGATCCCGCTATCAAGCTCACAGATATCATGCTACCGAAATTATCCTTTGATAAGCCCTACAAGGTCAGAATTCCTGAAAGGGACTGCTGTAAAGCGATAATATCTATGATTGACAAAGGGTCCCAAGTATGGTATACCGATGGATCAAAGATGGAAGACGGGAGTACTGGGGCAGGCGTGCTTGGACCAAGGTTCCAGAAAAGTTTGCCAATGGGCTCATACCCAACCATATTCCAGGCGGAGATCTTCGCAATCGAAGTCTGTGTTCGAGAATGTCTTCGGAGAAGGACAAACGGGGCCAGAATAAACATTATGTCGGATAGCCAGGCAGCACTAAGGGCCTTAGACTCATTTAAAACGACATCTAGGCTTGTGGACAGTTGTAAAACTCTTCTGAATAGCCTAGGAGCCCATAATAGAGTTACGCTGTGGTGGGTCCCTGGGCATGAAGGGTTTGAAGGCAACGAAAGGGCTGACTATCTCGCAAAACGTGGGGCCCAAACGCGAATGCATGGTCCCGAGCCTTTCTGTGGTACATCCATAGGATACACTGCAGAACTACTTAGGAGTTGGGAGGAATCTCAGATTGCTGCCCACTGGCGTAAGTCAAAGGGAATGAGACAATCAAAGAAATTCATAACTCCTTCCAAGAGGAACTCAGAAAGACTCCGTGAACTCAGCCGGGAGGGTCTTAGGACTATTACAGGCTACCTGACAGGACACTGCAAGCTAAGGTACCATCTAAACAAAATGGGGCTTTCTGTAGAGACGGACTGCAGGTTCTGTGGGCTGGCGGAGGAAACCTCGGAGCACATTCTGTGTGACTGCCCGCGCATGAATAGCAGACTGATGCACCTTGGGGAACGATTGTCTTCTCCATCCAAGATTTGGAACACGGCACCCTCCAATGTGCTTAATTTCTTGAATAGCCTAAGGTTGGAGTGACCACAATCAGGGTTTAGCACAATAGATCTTTTAGGTCGCAGCGCGAGTATACCCGACGTACTAATAATAATAATCTCTAGATGAAACTGGTACAACATCGGTGTCAATGATGTTCCATGAAATGTGTGGCAGATTTAAATCGCCGAACACAATCATAGAATCGGATGCTGTAAGCATTGCATTTATGGTCTCAAGTAAAGAAACTAGCTGCATATATACTGATACGGCAGAATTAGGAGGGATGTAGCAAAGAGCTAAATAAATATAAGTCTTTCCAGCCTGTACACGTATACATTTAAATTCGGTATATTCAATGACAGGAAGACTAACTTCCTCGGATGGTATCGATGAATGCACCGCAAAAGGAACACATCCGCCGATTCTGCCCTCGCGGTCGCTCCTGTATATTTGATACGAGTATTCATTTGGAAGAATTTCGGAATTAAAAATATGAGGTTTGAGCCATGTTTTTGTCAAGGAAATAATATTATAATTACAGTCAAAACCTTTTAAATATAAGTCAGTTAATTTGGTATTCAAACCTCTAACGTTTTGATAGTAAATACTTAAATTAGACTTGCGAGTTAGTTTTTTGAATCCGAATTAAGATTAGAAATTTTAGCTACGTTATTATTACTTTTATTAGGTTTATACTCAAACTCGCGAACAAACGCCCCGGTCGGCCAAAATGAACTATTTAGTAGTGAATCAAAATCTTCGGAAGCTACATCAATTTTAAAAGATGAAATATCGCGATCGTATTTAAAATTAAATTTACGAATAAATACATCTTTAGTTCTAATTTTAGTCGATATGTGTGACTTTATATCATCCGAAGAAGTATCTTTAGCAAATCTAGAGACGAAGATTGATCTTCTCGGAGGAATTACAACCAACTTTTTGGTAATGATGTCTGATGTGCGGGGCTCCGAATTATTAGGAGGAACTAAGTTAAACAGTGCAGCTTGAGATGTTGATGGCAACACTGTTAAGTCAACGGTTTGACTATTTTTAGAAGTAGACCTAGTCGATATGGCTTAAGATATCGGAGGCTCCAATGCCTGGGGGCAAGGAGAAGATAGATTAATAAGTTCCAAGGACTGGGATGGAGGATTTTTTTTACTAGAATCCGTGGCTGTCTTTTTAGGTGGACTAATAACACGCCCACCTTTATTTTCTCGACTATATTCAGAGTGCGCAGGGTTGTCGAGACAAGTGAAAGACCTAAACATTTTTTCGTAATGCTTAAATTTCTCAACAAGCACCGACAGATCCTTCCCGACCTCAGAAAAACCATTTCTGGACTGCCTAAAGAATTTAAATAAATCAACCCTTACCCTCGTTAATAGCGTCTAATACTCTACCGCTCAAACCAGCACATTTTATATGGGCAATCCCATCGCAGAGCCAGCATGACACATAGGAGTCGCTTTTAACGTTGCAATTGCATGTTTAAAATTATATTTATTTTTAGGTTTTAGAAGCAAAAACGCAAAAACAGTTTTGAAAACGATGTAATAATCAGTGAACCTATCAGCTGGTAAATATCAGTTGGAAAGCTATGTAGCGAATAGTTTTAAATGCACTATATATTTGACACCTAATAAACACAACGCAAACAGCTGTGACAAAGATGAAACAGCAGAAATGACAAAAAGAGCAAAATTAATGTGCACAAACAAAAACAATTGTGCAACAACAATATATTATATGAAACAAAATACTCGGCACATGCAATTAAGAATATCAAGTTCAATTAATCAAATTTACAGGAAATTTTGATGGTTTACTTATCTTTAAATTGTGCACCAGAAGTTTATTAACACTTTTTTAATTTTTTACTTTAATAAGCGTAAACAGCTTTATAAAACACAAAATTTAAACAGATCACAGAAAAACACAGCTTCACAGCTTGACGTTTGCGTATATTGTAATAACAATAAATAATAATAATAATAATAAATGCACTCTAATTAAAATTCTATAAGTATGTAAACAGGTATGTTAGAGCACCCACAAATACAAAAGTGTTAAACATTTTCGCTCCTCTCGCGAGATAGCTCGACGATAAAATATTAGATCTGTGAAAAGTTTGGACTTCTGTAGTGGGAAAAGGCTTGCGGTTTTCACTTTAAGTCCAAAAATTTACCAAAAATGGTACATGGGTTGAAAAACAAATATCTCTTAAATAAATGGTTTAAGCGGAAGTAATTACGTATATTGACGTAA